ATTTTACCCTTTTTGTGCCATGAAAACCGACTTGGAGCCTGACATGGTGTAATAAGACCAAACAATAGTGAACTTATTACATGCCACATGATAGTTTTGGATATGATTACATGTTTTCTCTCCTCCATTAGGTATTCAATATGAATGCTCCAGTTCCTCCAACCAATGAGATGGAGTCTCAGAAGATTTCCAACCAGTATCAGAGTAGCTACGGTCAAGGCTTCAGCACACAAGCCACCCTTCCAGCTGAGCAGCAGGAACTGCCTCAAGAAGCCCTGCAGTCAGGTAAGAGAATTGCTGCTACATTTGTGCCATTTTATAGTTTTAAAAAAACTACTAACTAATTGGTTTATAAAAATATTTTTTGGTTTCTTTGTAGTTGGCCCTTTCCATTCTCAAGACCAAGGTATTCCGTCTGTAGGGGGACACCAGTCTGCATCTCAGCAGCCCTCGGGGCAGGGCACAGGGTTTGGGCGGCCAGGTCAGTCCTTTTACAACAACAGAGCAATGCCACGAGCTGGGCCCAGAAATCCCAGAGGGGCTTTGAACGGCTACCGTGGACCATCAAATGGATTTAGAGGTGAGCCAAGACTGCTTTAAATCATAACAAAAAATGCTATTCTGAAATCCAGTGTAAAATTAAAATGTGAAAAAATTCCAGTGTAAAATATTACAATGTTTATTTATTTTTTTTAATTATGTTTAGGTGGATACGATGGGTATCGCGCTCCATTCCCGAACACTCCAAACACCGGATACGGGCAAACTCAGTTCAGCACTCCGCGAGATTATTCCAACAACACCTACCAACGGGTAACTTCAAGAAAACAAATACTGTGTAGATTTGAGAAGTTATATATGCATTACTAGAATAGAATAGGTTTTAAAGTCCCATGTGTTTTCTTTCCAGGATGGATATCAGCAAAGCTTCAAGCGAGGAGCTACCCAAGGACCTCGAGGTTGCTCTCGAGGTAATGCTCAAGCGATGCGATCCTAAAATCTTTGGGAAGACTTTTCTTTTTGGCCACTTTGAACATTCATTTATTGAGAATGTTTCCCCCAGCCCATATTTTTACTCCTATCAGTGTTTTTTATTTGTAATTTTTTTTTGGCTTATTGATTCAAGTAAGCCCACTTTGATAGTTTTAATATACTAATGTGTTTTACAGAGACACAGTGGAGAGCTGAAACTGTCAGTGTTGTGATTTTTCAGCCAGGTCGTGTTTAAAACATAGACATTCCTGTAAACTTGAAAGATTTTCATTAACTTATTTTTTTTATAAAATAAAATGCAAAAAGAAATCTGCCACTGTCGGTCCAATCCATAGGAGTGTTTTTGATATTTCGTTGGCCTGCCCCCCCCCCCCCCCCCCCCCCCCCCC